TTCAAGCACTTCTTTTCTGAGGACTGTTGACCAAAACTGGACTACATGGACTAGATGTGGCTGAACCAAAGTTTTGTCAAGTGGCAGGATTATTGTTTGATCTCTTGCTAGCAGTCTGCTGGCCTTGCTTGCTACACCATGCATGCTATTGCTGAGCCTGATCTACTAGGACCCCCAGATCCTTTTCCATCCTCGATTCTCCCAGAGATTACCCCCTCCCATGAGTAACTTGCATTCCTATTTATACCAATAGAGTGGGGCAAGACTAGATCCCCTGTCAATTTTTATTTCTGGCTGTATCTCTGTTGCAGATTATCTCTACATTTGTCCTGCAAAACTGCATGTAATTTCATTTTTGTGTGATTGCTGGAAAAATCAATTGTTTATCAATCAGGCTGTTGTCAGCACAGGTCAGGCGTTCATAGGAATCATAAAAATCCACATTTTGGCCACAATATGGAGATGATGATCATAATAAATAAGTACTCATTTCCTATGATCTTCAGCTCCATTTAGTTGCCATAATATGGTACTTTACTGATATATAGTGTTCTTAGAATGAAGAACATCTGGACAGAAAATGGCCTAGTAACTATTGATTTTGCCAGCATTTGCACAGAATGATGTAATGTAAATATCGCAGGATGAATAGCTCCAGAAATATTTATAAACACACTCCTAAGTAAGGAAAAATCTCTCTAAGCCCTATAGAGCAGTAATAACTGTCAAGGGTTCTAATTCTTTCCCATTCTATTCAAGACATACAAAAGACAAAAAAAAAAATAGTTTGGGCTGAAAATATTTTTAAAATAAGATGCAGGTTCCAACCTGGACTAAAGATATTCTTCTCCCAAGTTAGATTTCATGACAGTAAACTGCGCTGCTGTGGACGTGCAAATGATATGTATATGGAAAGGTCAAGTAAAATATTCCACAAGTGTCACAAAAGTGCTACACAGATGAACACAACATTGTGATGCAAAATAACTAATAGAGTATAATAAACAGTCCAAATATTTAAAAGTATCCATATTGCTCCAAATGTGCCCGTGCTCCCAAGACAAATACACGTGATAAGCCTCAGTCTCCAAATGTGCTCTGAAGAGCCCCTACAAAGACTTGCACCCATCAGATAAATTTGACCCTCTGGAGATATATTTTTATTTATTTATTACAGGTACTTGTATAGCACCATCAGTTTATGCAGCGCTTTTACATACTGTTTATATTGTACATTCACATCAGTCCATAACCCTGCGTTCACATATATGTGGTGCGGTATATCGCATGTGATTCCCACAGGAACCGCACCGCATTTGTATGGCTCTATTCGCACTGCACCCGCACCAAAAAGGTGCAGGATCTTTTTTTGGTCTGCACTAGAATCAGATCGCATGGGTATTCACACCTATGCGATCCAATTCTGTACATCGCACCGTGTTTTGAGGACCGCTTTCAGGGTGTTGTTAACTTAACATACACACTCGCAGCGGTTCGCATGAACGGGTGCGATTCTGATGCAGTGCGGAATTCGCACAGAAAATGCTGCAAATTACGGACCGCATCAGTGTGAACCAGGGCTCAAGGAGCTCATCTAAGGTCCCTAACTCACATTCATACTAGGGCAAATTTAGTAAGGAGTCAATTAACATACCAGCATATCTTTGGGGTGTGGGAGGAAACCTATGCAGGCACACAGAGAACACACAAGTTGTGCAGGTGGTGCCGTGGTGGGGATTTGAACCAACAACCCTAGTGCTCTAAGGCGGGAGTGCTAACCACTTAGCCACTGTGCTTTTTGGGTCAAGCCCCTCATTTCATCTCACAGCTCAGGGTTCACAAGTTCATATCCACCTGTATCATATACTGCTCCAATTCAGGAGAAATAATGCCACAGAGAAGCCATTATTGCACAAAGCAGCTGAATGTGTTAAAACCACACAATTACATGTATACAATTACACCCACTTACTACTGTGGCAATATACCAGCCCTAGGTGTATTCAGCACAGCTCAGGATGCGGGAAAGATGGCTGCCGTCGCCTCGTAAACCAGAAAGCGGCGTGCTTTCCACCAACAGGATATGATGTCACCGGAAGTGACGTAAAGAGCAGAAGTACCTGCGGCTCCCAAGAGCTAGTTTGCTGAACACATTTTTCTAATAAAGTTATAAAAAAAATGCTTTTTAGGGGGATAGTACAGATTGGATTTAATGTGACACCTAAGCTGGCCATAGACGGATCGAAAGTCAGCCAGTTCAGCAGAAACTAGACAGAATTCAATCCATCTATGAGCACGCTGGTTGTACTGAAGTGGATGTATCGATCCACTTCAGTACAACCAGCCTGTTGGGTTTTTTCATATGATCACTGCCAGTGGCTATAGCCTCTGGCAGTGATCATTGTATTCTGATGGCAAGGAAACCTCCCACTGTTAGAATACGATATCACAGTGGCAGGGATTCAGCCATCAACACTGACTGTGTTGATGGGGGAATCAGCCGATTTTCTTTCCTTCAACCCTTTCCTGCATAATCTATGGCCAGATAAAAATGCATGAGCAAATGAATGCTGAAACTTCTGCGGTGGACGATGAGATCCACAATGTAAGTAACCCCACATGGAGTACTTTTTGAGAATGCAAGTCTTGCTGCCCTCAACGGACCAGGGAAATCCAAAGGAACTGTGTGCAAAGAACCAAACAGAGGGTGCACGGGCCTAGTGTATTACCTTCTAAAAATTAGATTTATTGAATAAAAAGTAGTATACTCACAAAAGAGTATACTACTTTTTATTCAATAAATCTAATTTTTAGAAGCTAATGCACTAGGCACATGCACCCTCTCTTTGGTTCTTTGCACACATAATCTATGGCCAGCCTGAGTGCCGATACAATCATGGGAATAAATAGGCAGAAGTCCTGCAAGAAACAAAATCATTGTACTGGCATTTCTAATGTGATCCACAAGCAGATCACTTCTCCCCTCCACTTGACTACAGGAGTCCATAATAATGAGTAGATTTAGTTTTCTGATTAGATTGTTTGATTATCTAGAGTGGTACCTTCATATATTTTCAGGTGTGTAGAAACGAGGGCTCAAAAACAGATGTCACCACTGGAATCCCTGGAAGGTTTAAGAAACTATGGGATGATTTAATTCTCCAGCGTCTACCAATGATGACATTTTTTAAATGACCCTTTAGAAGGCCTGGACATAAATCATCAAAAGGCAGGAATCCAATATGGATTTCAGTGGCTTCTTACCATGGGAAGGAAATCACGTAGACAGCGACTGTGTGTCACACAAACGGTTGGACGAGCGTGGGATGGAAATGTGTAAACAGGAGGATATTTAAGGAACTGATCCTGTAAAACAGTATCTGGCCCTATTAAAGTTCATCTGCTGGGCCCCTGGAGTGAATTTCGAGTAATGGAATCGGGTTTTATCTGATTGGAGACGCTAAGTGGATATTAGAATATTGTGTTGCGCAGATTAATGGCTGATTAGATTCTGCCAGCCTTCACATCTTCTATCGCTGGTACAGATCTGCAGACAATTTTGTCTCCTGTGCAGTCACTGGAGTGAACTGGCTTTAAATTAAAGGGCAACTCCAGCCAAACATATTCAATACACAATGGAAAGACATACATGAGATCTGTTTTACCTGACAGAAGGGAAAATAATGAGCTTCCTCTCTTATGATCACTCATCCATGGTGAGCTGGGCAGCATAAGTTAAATGGTAACATCTTTCAGATGCTACAAAGCTGTAGACTATATAGATTAGCCATAACTTTACAACCACCCACCTAATATGGAGTAGGTCCCTTTTTTGCTACCAAAGCAGCCCTGACCCATTGAGGCATGGACACCACTAAACCTCTGAAGGTATGCTCTGGTATCTACCATCAAACTGTCAGTAGCAGACCCTTTAAGCTCTGTAAGTTGTAAGGTGGGTCCTCCATGGATCATACTTGTTTTTCCAGCACATTCCACAGATGGATTGAGATCTGGAGTCCAGTTCAACAACTCCTCAAACTATTCTTGGAACTATTTCTTCAGTGTGGCAGGAGGAATTATCCTGCTGAAAAAGGCCACTGTCATCAGGGAATATGTTTTCATCAAAGGGTGTACTTGGTCAGCAACAATGCTTAGGTAGAGGGTAGACCCTGGTGCCATCTCTTCCCCTAGTAAGCAACGCACACACACATGGCCATCCACATGATGTAACTCATGATATGACGCATCAGACCAGGCCATCTTCTTCCATTGCTCTGTGGTCCAGTTCTGATGCTCACGTGCCCATCGTAGTTGCTTTTGGCTGTGAACACGGGTCAGCATGGGTAACCTGACCGGTCTGTGGCTATGCAGTCCCATACTCAACCAACTGCAATGCCCATTTTTTCTACTTTGAACACCTCAACTTCAGGGACATCATGTACACTTGCTGCCTAATATATCCATTTGACTTTCAGATGCCATTGTCACAAGATAATCAATGCTATTCACTTTTACTGTCAGTGGTCATAAAACTATTGCTGATCATTGTAATGACAATTTTACTGGATCTGCCTTTGTCTTAGGTATTTAGTAATGACTATCCCATGATACAATGAGTTTCCTCCAAGTTAAAGGGGGTGTAGTATGCGATGGTATAGAAGAGGGAGGTGTAATTATAAATGCTGAGCTCACACTGAAGAAATTCCCAGCATGCTCCCAGACTTCTGTACTCATCGCAGTGACCAAGCTGTCCGCCTACCATGACAAGTCTACTCAATAAGAAGTTGGGGAAAAGGTTAGCTTTAATTTTCTAAAGTGATTAGAAAGTCAGGGGCGGAGGGGCTGGGCATGACAAATTCAAAGATACAAACAGACAGTGTTCTAAAGTCATCTACTTCACGGGTGTAACAAATGGGCTTTTATCACCAGGGCAAAAATATTCATTGTGTGTCAGTCATTAAAGGATTAGAGAACTGGATTTCATGCATGAGAGCACTTACCTCTTGGGCAGTAGACATCTGGGGCCCAGCGATTGCAATCATAATTGTCTTTTGCCTTTTCGCAGGTGAAACATTTAAAGCCCCCGGGGTACGGCGTTGCTATAAAAACAATATCACAACAGTGAGAAAACCCGGATGTGTCACAAACATTTTTTTTATTTATTGCATACAGATGAAATGCCAAAAAACCTACTTTGTGACAAAATCTCATCAAAATGATTGCCTTTTTGTAAAACTAAATATGCTGTTAAAAAAGGAGTATGTCTGGCCAATTTTTGTTTTTTCTTTTGGATAAAGCAGTAAATGGTGAAACTCCGTCTGGTTTTTATTGCTGCCTGTGTCCCATGGGGGGGATTTCCGACTAGAAAGACAACAGGAAGCGAGAAGAAATTTCTCCACAGTGCAGGGAAATCCCCTCTAAGAATGCTGTAACCTGAACAAAGGTCTCCATTGGAAGATTTCCCCTGACACGCTTATTGAGACATTTCCCTTCACTTTCTACTCCAATGATAATGGTTACCAGAACATTCAAAACAGTGGAGTCTATAAAACATGAGAGGTATTTATACACGGATTGAAAAAGAAAAAAAGTTCTGGCTTCAGGTCTACCTATAGGGCCCATTTATATTCTTGCAATATGTTAAACACGTGAGTTAGGGCAAGGCTTCAAAATCAATGGATTGACAAAATACCAAGTCCTCATGCACACTGGATGTTTTTACAGCTGCTGTTTTTGGCTTTTTGGCCTTTTTTTCTACAGCCAGTAAACTCCTCAGCATGTTATCCTATGTGTCCATACACATATAGGCTGTAATCAGCATTTTTTTGGCAGGGGCGTTTTGTGCCTGGAAAAAAACCCCAGAAGTAGTGAGTTTCTAGAGGACTTTGTTAGCTGTAAAAATGCTCTAATGCTAAAAAAATGAGGTAAAATATGGCAAAACATTACAAACCAGAGTTTTTACACTTTTTTTGAGCAAAAAAATATTTTTTTTTTGGTTAAAAAATTCTAAAAACCGCAAAAAAATGCGGCTAAATGCTAAAGCAAAACCCCTAAAAACCTCACGTTTTAACGTGACTTTACACAGCTAATGCTACCAGCGTAATTAAAACGCCCCGTGTGCATGGAGCCTAAAAATCAGATATGCCACAAAATATGCAATGCAAAACACACATTTTGTTGCATTTCTGACGCAACGTGTGTGTGGCACTTTGCACTGCAACACGTGCACTGCCTTAGTGTGTTGGGGTGGTTTTCAAAATGAATGACACTGCAATGAGATAGCATGCACGTTCCTGCAACACAAAGATGTCAATCATCAAAACCTATATTGCAGTTGATAGTATACAAAATCTACTTGCGCTCTTATGTTAAATGATCAATAAATAAGCACATATAGCTGCTAACATCTGATCCTATACCTATAGATCTGATGAAGTATAACAAATAAAGCAAAAAATGATGTAGCGCTAAAACAAAGAAAATATAAAAATAAATAAATACTCTGTTAATGACTCATATTAAGCACATAGTCAATATAACAAAGTAACACACTCCTTAACATGTAAAAGGAAAAATAGTGCGTGATGGAACTAGATGAGTGAGATCTAAAACACATGTGAGATCCCTACACACAGTGCACATATCAAAAAAGTCCAGTGATCCGTATCACATTCCTTCCGCTCATGCAAAATCAATGGACTGTGTATGGACCCACACACCCCCAAGTGCAATCCAAAACCGGCTGAAATGGCCTCTCACCTCCTATCTGCGACCCTGCAGGGCCACAGAGCATGTAATATCGCCACTGGATCAAGATAACATTCCTCTTGGGTAGATGACTTGAAGATATGTCCCCAGTACACTGATTCCACCTCTCCTATAATATCCTTAATGGTCAGATGAGCAGGATGGATCCCAACTCAAATCCCTCCTCTGGTGCCACTTCCATCAAAGTCTCCTCTTTTTTGCGTATCACATGGGGCTCATGTGATACGCAAAAAAGATATTACATGCTCTGTGGCCCTGCAGGGTTGCAGATAGGATTTTTTTGATATGTGCACTGTGTGTAGGGATCTCACATGTGCTTTAGATCTCACTCATCTAGTTCCATCACGCACTATTTTTCCTTTTACATGTTAAGGAGTGTGTTACTTTGTTATATTGACTATGTGCTTAATATGATTCATTAACAGAGTATTTATTTATTTCTTTTTATATTTTCTTTGTTTTAGCGCTACATCATTTTTTGCTTTATTTGTTATATTGCAGTTGAGCAGCTTGGTAAAGTCACTGTTGAACCTACAGCACCCTGGAACACCACAGTGACACCAAACATATACAAAACCTAAGAGCAAACATAGAAAAAATGAAAAAGAGGTATAAGGTTCAAAGTGTTTGTAAACCCCAAGGTCCTGTTCACATTAGGCAATTTGGAGTCGCAGGCAGAATTGCTGCAGTTCTTCCAGCTATTTCAAATTGCAGCAAAAAGTGTGATGTGCTTTTGGGTGCCATTATTCCTAATGGTACCCCAAATGCAGTGCGATTCTGCTGCAATGGTTTACCATCATGGTCGTGCAGCAATCACAGCAAAAATCGCTTGTAAAAACAGTGCTAAGCTTGTCGCTCAAAAAAGAGCAGGAGCTGCTTTTGGGAGACAAATGTTCACAGGGCAGCCCACTGAGGTGAATGAGCTGCCTAATGTACGACATGTGGAAACGCATGCAAATCACGCCTTTAAAATTGCAAACGAGAATGCATTAAAGTGGTTGTAAACCCTTCCATATTCCCATTAAAGTGCCTGGCCTTGGGTGATACGCAGAGATGAAACAAATCCCCCTAACCTAAGTTGTACCTGTTTATCAGCAGCCATCTGTCTCCATCTATTCAAAGTGCAGAATTTACACAGGATCTCCCAGGTCTGAAAAGCAGGGGGTGGGAAGCTGAAGTTACATCAGTGAGGAGAGCTCTGATAGCTGAAGAAACCCCCCTTCCACACAACACACAGGAACAGAGCTGAGGCTTTCAATCTGCTGGAGGTCCCTCCCCTGTCACCATTTTTCTCTTGGTGTCAGGAAAAGTTGCCAGAAGTGACTCATGCTGATAACAGAGGAACAAAGCAGTGGAGAGAAATGACACTTCGGGCTCTTAATTAAGTACACACTATAGAGGGATATGGTTTGTTATTATTTCATGTCTGAGGTTTACAATCACTTTCACCTGTCAAGAATCTTGGTTTAAAGCAACACAAAAAACACTCTAGAAAAGATAGAGATATATATGATGACTGATGTTTCCAATTGTCATATTACACTTTATTTGTTTGCCAAAAATGAATCTGTCATTGAAAATATCCTATAACTTTCATAATAAAAACTGAAAGCCTTTACAATGTGTCCTCCTCTCCAAGACTAGAAGTGCAATTTATTAAAATTGAATGCCTTACTTGATGGGTAGAGATAGATAATGTCCTGCACTGTGAACTCTCGGGATTGAACTGTACTCAGCCAATCAGCTACATGGGTAAAAAACAGGAACCAGGCCAGAGCTGGCCACCTTTCCATCGCAGAACAGGGTCCAATTCATGCAGCCATCAGTGAGCCCATCTTAATGCCTGAGGGTAGAAGAAAAGCATAAGTTATTAGAATTAGACTCTACCACGGTGCCACAACTAAAACATCTTCTTTGGAAAATACTACCCCCTTGGTAAATACTAACCTCCTTGTCATGCTGATATTGTGGTTTCAGTAATTGACTCACAACAAGTATGCAGATCAGAAGTTCTGGCTTCATTCTGGCACTACTGATCAAGTGAGTGACTAAAAAAGTGCTGAAGCCTCAGACAGCTGGTACCGCCGCTTGATGACGTCGTGGTGACGAAACGCGTTGGGCATGGCCTACTTGATGCTGACGATAGGAACAAACGCTCTCTTTTGGCAGTGTGTGTCGGAGGTGATCCGCGGTGAGCGGAGATCATTATCAGTGCAGTGCTGCATATTGCTGGTGAAGCTGGTGTCTGTCTGGACACCTCTCTTGTGAGTTGTTTGGCATTTTAAATAAATTTACATGTGTTTAAAACGTACTGCACCATCAATCTTTTTCCTTTGTCCCTGAGTGAGATTTATATATGGAGATACGGAGTTAATGGAGAGATGCATCATGAGATCTATGGCTGTAGAGTATTGATTATTTCAATGAAATCCGATTACCATTAGTATTTACCTGGATGTGATTGAAAAGTTACTACAATTAACACCTGGATACCGTTTACCCATCGCTCCCAGAGCAAAAGCGCTATTGCTGTTCTATAATTTGAGCAGCATATAGCTCTGGTGAGTCCATCTAATTTATCTGGTGGTGGATTATTCACAATTTTATGAATTCACAGAGGAGATATATATTTTTATTATAAAATTTTTTGACTTTGAATTTTCACAATATTAATTATGGATATTTAATTATGTTGATATATGAATTCACAGAGGAGTGATATAAATCTAAAAAAATCTTTGATTTGCACAAATTAATTATGGACACTTAATTATGTTGCACAGATTGATTATGGACATTTAATAATATGGATATATATTTTATTTAGCGCATGCCTTTATTATATATTGTTTACTTTGCCAACAATAATTTTTGGTTGGGTTTTGCTGCTATCATATAATTTTATTGGGAGACAGTGTGGCGCTTTTTCTATTTTGATTTATTTGGAGCCCATCTTAATGCCTGAGGGTGGAAGAAAAGCATAAATTATTAGAATTAGACTCTACCACGGTGCCACAACTAAAACATCTTCTTTGGAAAATACTACCCCCTTGGTAAATACTAACCTCCTTGTTATGCCGATATTGTGGTTTCAGTAATTGACTCACAACAAGTATGCAGGTCAGAAGTTCTGGCTTCATTCTGGCACTACTGATCAAGTGAGTGACTAAAAAAGTACTGAAGCCTCAGACAGCCAGGCATCTAGCATTTCAGATGCAGGTCAGCAATGTTTCATTTCAATTCAGTGCTTTCCGACTGACGTTTTTAGATCAACGTTCCACAGCACAAAGCCCCATGTTGTAAAACGGTCACTATATGGTCCACATTTGACAGCTAGCAGGCCATTGTTAGCAGTCAGAGCACATTCTGTCTGACAGATCCAGTCTATACTAATAATCAGCATATTTCACAACCATGTGATCACATGCAGGCTGTTATGTTTGTTTCCAAACCCTGCAGCTTGCAATGTCCACGCCAGCCTGAAGATGGCAATGTACATTTGTTTAATACAGTAATCATCAGATACAATTACAATAATAAAAAAAAATATTTATTAATACAATTAAAACTTTTATATTTGAAATAAAATGAAAGTAAATATTTAAAGCAGAACCCCACCTTTGCCCGCAGCCTTCTGGGACATATCACGGGTCCAATGGGATCATTCACAAACCGCAGCACAGCTCACACATGTACAGTGGGAAGCCAGTTGTGAAGCAAGAGTCACAGCTAGCTTCCCACATTAAACATGCTGGTACCGGGGACCCAAAGACCAGTGAAGAACCGGGCGGGGTGAGGACAATGCTGGATCCTTGGACTGTTAAATGTCTTTTTATGAAAAGTCAGCAGCTACAGTATTTGCAGTTGCTGACTTATTTTTTTTCTTTCTAGGGTGAAGATCCTCTTTAAGTAGGGTTCCATAAAAAAGCTTTTTATATTCTAAAACAATTTTTTAAATGATTTTGATAAGAAAATTGGTCAAAACAATTAGTGTCAAGTTAACAGATGCTGCTAAATCTGGTTTTGGCACAGATGACCTCTGATCATAATAGGGTTAAATAAAACCCATGTTTCAGAAGCTGGTGGGGCTTAGCAGAATATATTTATTTTTTGTTGTTTAATGATTTATGCCAAATGCTTCAAAAAGGAACATTGACAGAACAAGCATGTTATTGATGTACACTAATGAAATAACATTTAATCTCTGAGCAACAGCCGGCATGCGTGTTATACTTGGCACCGATTCACAGGATGTTGTTCCAAATTAAATCCACCTAAAAAGTTCTGGAAAAACAGAAAATCCCATAGACTGGTTTTGTTTATTTATTTAAAAGGAACTGCTTTAATAACCCTAATCCTTCGGTGTCACGACCAATGACACCAAAGTAATTAATCCCATTGGAGAAAATGCACGGGGAAATTACTGATGAACAAAACACAGGATGTAGAGTTTTATTCTTTCAAAGTAAAACAAATATACACTCGTGACCATGGAGAAGTCATGTTTAAAAGGTAATGGGGCTCATTTTCTCTAGTGAAGCAAAACTGGGACAACTAATCAGGTGCTAACTTTAAACGCATAAAAAATTGGCTGCCACTTTCCTTTCCTTTTTTTTTTAGTATATTTACTCTAATTATAAGTAGTTTTTTTTATTGCTGCATGCAAAACTGACTTATACGGTTTTTTAAATATGCACTTGACCATTCACCTTGTACCTGACAGAATCTGAATCAGAAATGTTGGTTGTGAAATTTCTGATCCGTACAAATGGGCGAGGCTCACCCAATGCTACCATTGCAGTCTATTTATTTTATTCTTTTTTTGCACAGTAAGTCCCTGACTTAACAAAATTTAAGTTGAGAACTTTCACAGAGACGAACAGACCTCGTGTTACGAACATTCGTAGATGCGAACAAAGCGCGGACGTAGCTCACGTGCCTGCGCTGCTGTGTGCTTACTGTATAGTGAGATAGTGTACTGTGCAGAGCCCAGGATGTCTGGAAGCAAGAGGAAAAGCAGTGGTGATGTGGAGGGGACTACTAGGAAGCGCAAAGCAATAACCATGGAAAAAAAGTGAAAATAATTGAGAAATTGGACAGAGGCGAAAAGATGGTAGACATCGCTCGTTCTTGCGTATGAATGAATCATACGAATGAATGAAACATGAATCGTTCAACCATTGGCACAATTCTAAAGAAAGCCAAGATCATGGAACATGGAAAGTCTGCTGTGCCTATGAAGTCAACAATAATATCCAAAACGCGTGGTAAAGTGATAGAGGAGATGGAGAAACTTCTCAGTGTGTAGATGCAGAATCAGCATCAGCGGCGAGTCTCACTCAGCTTAATGCTTATTCAAGAAAAAGCTAAAAACCTATTAGAAGACTTGAAGAAAAAAACGGGGTGAACAGTTTGCATCTTTTACTGCCAGCCATGGATGATTTAATAGATTCAAGGCTAGAGCCAACCTTCACAACGTAAAAGTAAGTGGTGAGGCTGCGAGTGCAGATACCATAGCAGCCCAAGAATTTCCAGCAACACTTAGAGAAATTATTGACGAAGGTGCTTATTTACCCGCACAGGTTTTTAACGTCGGTGAGACAGGACTGTACTGGAAGTGGATGCCAGAAAAAAAAAAGTTACATCAGTAAAGAGGAAAAGGTGATGCCAGGCTTCAAAGTGGCAATGGACAGACTTTGTTTGGTGGCAATGCTTCCGGTGATATGAAACAAAAGCCTCTTAGTTTACCATTCAGAAAACCCAAGAGCCCTCAAAAACATAACCAAGGGCTCTCTACCTGTTGTGTGGAAGAGTAACGCCAAAGCCTGGGTTACACAGGCCATTTTCCAGAACTGGGTTTTTCCACCACTTTATCCCAGAGATAGAGAAATATTGTTTGGAGAAAAATATCCCATTCAATATTCTTTTGCTGCTTGACAATGCACCAGGTCACTCCCAATTCATGGATAACTTTCATCCCAATGTCAAAGTCTGCCACCCTGCCACCTACCAGCCTAAACGTCATCTGCCACCGAATACTACTGTGCTCATCCAACCTACGTCACATTTTTTGTCAGGCAGTGAAAGCTATTGATGAAACAGGAACAACCTTACGACAATTCTGGAAAAACTATAATATCTACAATGGCCATAAAAACATCAACTTTGCTTGGCTTGAGGTTTCGGCTGTCACCATGAATGGGGTTTGGAAGAACCTTTGCCCACACTTTGTTCATAAAGTTCATGGACTTAAAAAGATGGGTAAGGAGTCCAAAGAGGTCTTAGTGACCCTTAGCACGAAGCTGGAGCTAGATCTGCAAGAGAATGACTTCACTGAACTCCTTGCTGTGCAACATGAGGAGCTTACTAAGGACCTGATGGAATTAGAGGCCCAGCAAAAAGATGAAGTGAGCCAAGAGGAAGATGTAACTGAAGAACCAAAGAGATTCACAACACAGGAAATGGCAAGGGGATTTTCTTTACTTGAAGAGGCACGGTTAGTTTTTGAGGCACAGGACCCCAGCGTAGAACTATACACAAAGGTTGCAGCAGCCATTCAGAATGCCATCCAGTGCTACAGAGTCATCTATGATGAGAAAAAAAGAGCTACTACTCAGACATCACTGGATCATTTTTTTCAGAGGGTAGACAGAATTGAATCCATCAAAAAACCTTTGTCATCAACATCAGGTGTGAGTGAAATTCCATCTTGCCCTCCACCTTCTATTGTTGATGATCCTTCAGCTCCATCAACATCAGCTGTGGGCCAAATTCCATCTTGCCCTCCATCTCC